TGTTTTTATTTCTGTCCAAAAAAAAGTCATTCGTNACTTTTTATTTCTGTCCAAAAACAAAGTCATTCGCGTCCCTTTATTTTCAAATACCAACACATCTTAATTCAACTTTGAATGACGTTCGTTCATCCTACCTTTCTCTTTCATCCTTTTAATGAGTTTATTATCAAAGAAATAAAAAGGGTGAGAAAATACCTTTCCAATGACACCTCTTAAGTCTAAATCGGAAGAGCTTAGGTTCAGTTATTTCAGTTTTTCTTATACCAATCTTTGAAAAAAGTTAAAAAACAGCATCAAATATCTCATCATTACGATTCCGTTTAAATTTTTTTTTAATTTTTTAAAAATATTTTCATGCAAATTTTTTAAGCTTAAATCGTTTTGTCATTTGAGGGGATTTTTTCAAAAAAAATCTTTAAGAAACTATTTTTATTCATGAAAAACTCCATTTTTGGAGGTATTTTCAAATCGGTCCAGCTCACTTAAATCTTAATTTTTTCGGAAATATTTTGGTGGACGTCTTAAAATATAATAGGTTTTATAATTCTAATGGAAAAATAGTACCGATGTTTCTTTGTATGGGGAGCGATGCAGTCTAATATATATATATGTATATTATATTTTAATTTATTTCCTAAAATTTATTTTACTTTATTTTTTAAGTTATTTTAATTTGTGTTTTATCTTTTTCTTGTTTTTTGCTTTACCTTTTCAATATATTTTGCTCTGGTTTTTTAAATTATTTTAATTTATATTTTTTAATTTATTTTAATATTTTGTTTTTATTTTTTTCCTACTTTACTACCTTTTTTTAATTTTTTAATTTCATTTAATGTATTATTATTTTACTTTATTTGATTAAAGTTATTCAATTGGTTTAATAGTAAGTTTAATTATAATTTTTTTTCTAGATTTCTTGTTAGTTCATTTTATTTTTCCGCACTTACCTTAAAACGCAAATCTCCAACGGGTGGCAGTGCAAAAGGCACACCCATAAAAGCTCGTATATGACGACCTTTATGAGAGGTCAAATGGCGCCCGACCAGTACGCCCCCATGCGGTAGCTGCACTTTTAAAATGTCGGACGTACGCGCCGCAGTCAAGGCATACAGATTAATCCACGCAAAAAGAAAAAGTATTAGAACACTGGCCGATTTCATCATTTTGTTTGAGAATAAGTTGCGCACCGATTACTTGTACGAGTATGTAAATAAATGATCCTCTTCACTTGGTGGCCGAATGGCGACTGATATCGCCTTCGCACTTGAAACTATAATAATTGTATAGAATTTACCTGTTATCTTTGTATTTAAGACTAAATCGGAATTTAAGAGCATACAAGCAGTATGTGCATGTGTATGTACATTAGGGTGGTCCAAAAATGCACGTGAAGAAGTAAAGTCGGAATTTTTATGCTCCATCCGCTAGGATTGTTCTATACCGAAAAAATATACCCCAATTTTTTTATCTTGAAATCAAAAAAATATATAGGGCTGTTTGCACCATATCTGGTGAATTTTAACTCCCAGTTAAACATCGTTATCGACACCCAACCTAAAACATGTAATCGATAAAGCAGTCGATGTGCTTAACTGAAGGATGTACCTCCAGTTAGCGTTAACCAGACTTGGAGCAAACGGCCTTTAGAGGTCGCTCAAAGCGCCCAAAGTTTCTCACGTATTTTATATGGGGAAATCCACTTTTCGTTGAAATCTTCATGAGATTCCCAATAATAATACAATTTTTCATAGTAACTATATGAGGGTTAACTTAATTAGCTGACCACAAGGGTATATAGGTAATGGGCCAGTCCGCGCTTTTATTGTTACGGTTGGGACAAGGCCAATACTGCTTAATAATAACTCATTATATAGATAAAGCACTCACACAATTTAATATATTACACAATTTTATTAAAACCAAATGAGTTCTAATATATACTTTTCTTACCAAGCAGTCGGATTATAAATCGAAAATTATTTGACAGCACTTTCAACACCACCTATTTGAAACTCACTCAAAAAATTTACTTAGAACTAGATTTCTAAACGTAAACAAGTAATTTTTAGCAAAAAAAAAACGATTTTAAAAATGGAAAACTTTAAGCGCTTTGAGCGGCCTCCAAATATGTTTTGATTTAAAAAAAAGGTATATTTTTCGATATAGAACAATCTTAGGGGGTGAGAGCATTAAAATTCCGACTTACCATATTTTGGACCACTCTAATGTAAATACTCCCGTAAACATACTTATAAGCTTGCAAAAAAATTGTTGAAATCACTCGATATGTTTTTCGCAACAGATTGCAATATGTAGGCAGAGTTTGGTAAAAAGGGGATATGTAGTAACCTTTAGAATGGCAAAGGTATTTAGAATAGCACCTCAATTTATTGAATGCTTCTCTTACCCCTTTTGATGACTGAAATAGAGCGATAAGGCATTCTCATTAAAGCTGCTTACTTCTTAGTGTCTCTTCTGCTTCCGCTGAGCAAATCTCTTTTTCAGCATAAATCTCAGTTACGCGGTTTTGCACTTTAAACGACGATATCTAAATACATACATATATGCACATATACATTATCTTTGCAAGCAGAAGTGGGAGTGAGATACAGCAATGGCATTAATGCCTGCACATTTTTTAACTAAGTACTGCACCCGATAAAGGTAATATAAATTTTATAGATAAATAGATTTCATGGTTGCAAGAAAAAGTATCAACGATTCACACCATATTGGCAGCTGAGTGGAAGATCACCCTATATCGGTTGTCGGTTCGAAAACGCCTATTTCAGAATTTGGTTCAAAAACGCCCTATCTCAACGTAAATTCAATATATCGGCAATTGGGATAAAGTATTTTTGAACCATTTGCTGAGATAGGACTTTATTTAAAAAAATTCTGTTTTGAAGTCGTTTAACAAAGGCTTTGCGATGGATGAGCGTAAATATGACATAGTTTAGGTGAGGTTTGCTTGGCTGATACCTGAGCTCTCACATACATACTTAGACCATCAGTTGGTCTAAGCCATAATGCACTTTTTAGCGACTTTAATAATTTGCAAATCCTTTGGAGTGCAATTTCTTTCAGTGAGGAAAAGAGAGCAGGACCAAGTTAGTGGATACTGATGTATGTCCATATGCCCTCTAAACAATTATTATTTATGTAATTTTTTTTTCTTGAATCTGTAATCTCAGCTCTGCCAAGTATTTTGGGAGGACCCGTAAGAGTTTACAGAAATTGGAAAATGTATCTATTTTAATTGTGTTAACCCAGCAGCTGAATTCACCGTTATAAGGCCTCCTAAATCTAGGTTAGGTTAGATTATGCGAGCAGCTGAAAAAGAGGCCACAAAGGCCTATTGAGATGCCCAGAGGGTTTCCCTATGCTTGTCTTTAAACCATCCTAATTCTCTAGCGAATCCTAGCAGAGCCTTAGAAGGACTCCAAAGCTGCCTAGGTTCTCGAAGAAGTGGTGTCACTTTTTCTCCACGCACATCCCATCAAGCGATGAGGGGACGGAGGACAGCGGTTTGAAGGAGGCACCATAGGTTGCTACTATTTATACTTATACTTATATACGCAGCGAATACTGGGGGAAAACAAGGGCTTGTGCAACTATGAGGTCTAGAGATCTCTCTCGATTCCAGTGGGTATACTGACAGGCCCTGCCCTATCGGGGTTTACGCAGTGAGATTCAATATCACACTAGACCCTTTTTATTGCAGCTGCATAGAGAACGACGAAATGAAATCATCGAAGTCATCATCGGCTTGGCTTCGTGCTTCTGTCGTCTGCTGATTTGCACTGAAGTATATACATACGTGTGTAAATATATTAGAATTATGAGATTTTTATTTTTATATATTTACAAACAAACTTGTTATTTAAAAAAACTATCACTACACTTAAATACTATGCTTTAAATTTTTTATTTTACAAATTAATTTTTAGTGGTAACCTTTAGAGTTCGTCCTTCCGGTTTATTTTGCGCTCTTCGGCTGGAATGTGTGGGCTTAGTTGATGCCAGAAGTTCACGCGATCGCCATACAAGTTACGCTCCATTTGTAGTATTGTAAATTCTTCAGGTGTTTTATGACCTAGACGAGCATAATTGATAGGATAACCCTTTGCCGCGCTCCAGTGTGGGAGTGGAGAGTTTGCCGGCGTTGGATTGCTGGATTGAGTCAGACATAGAAAGTCATTCATTAGCATTGATTTTTAGTAGAAATATTACAATGTGTAAAACCTCTACCTTTCTCTGGCGAAATTCACCCACATCTGCAGAATAGCTTCGCGTAGTTCAATATCGCTTTTTGTGGGCGAGGCGCTGACGAACAACTCCATTGCTACTGGAAATAGATATTGCAACTCCTCGGCATGACAAGCACCTGGTTGGGAGGAAATTGTTTAGTAAATTTAAAATTTCAGAGATTTTTTTTTGGTTATTTTATCGCCTTACCATAATAGTCCTCTCTTCCACCTTTAAAGAGCTCCGAGAAACTTGCTGGGCTGCGATGCTCGAAGAGATACACATAGTACGGCGGCATTTTCAATGACTTCTCCGCTTCGGCGCGCTGGCGAATATACTCATCGATGCCAGCAATAAACCAACCGTCAGAGATGAGCTATCAAATCAGGAATAACACCGTTATTTGTGTTAGGAAATAAACACTCTTCTTAAGCAAACTCACGTCTGTCAAATTTTGATGATTATATTTATCATAGGTGTGTCCCTCTTTAAAGTAGAATTCTTCAATCTTACGCGTAATCTCTTCGCGTACTTCCGGCGGATGGTGATCGTATTGCAGTTCAATGGGTAGAATTGTATCAAATTGCTGCTTATATTCATCCAAGAGGCCAGGCAGATTGAGTAACGGCGCAGTTTTGAGCAGACCCTCCTCTGAAGTGGCGCCAATCATGAGTGGCAAAGCGAAACCGTGTGGCAAGCCGACATCACGCGGCCAAACTGTGAGGAATGCACCCTCATGTGGAGGCTCTACCACCGGTTGGAATGGCACCATGGGATCATAATCCCACTCCTGCGGAAATTGAATTTCGCACGCGTTAGCACTGAGTAGCCTAATATTTTTCAACTTAAATTCACTTACAAATAACTCGTAGAGTGTGGCAACGACATCTTTGGCGCTTTTGCCACGCAAGCAATGCAAAAGCTCTGGCCATTGCGCCTCGGCATTACAGCCCACCAACTGCGCCACTTTGCATGCACGACTCGCCGACAAGCCCTTATATTGAGGTTGCGCCCATGGATTGTAGTAGGTACCCGACTGTGCAATGGCTTTTTGGAAGAGGCCTGTACTTAGCAGAAATTGTCGAATTTAACTTTATTTTTGACGCAAAACTATACTAATTTATGTACATTACCTTTGGACGAGTTCGAGAGCATGTGGTATGTGACGCTAGCACCACCCGCGCTATTACCGAAGATCGTCACCGACTTTGGATCACCGCCGAAAGCGCCAATATTTTTCTGGACCCAACGTAAGATCTCCACTTGATCTTTTAATCCGAAATTACCTGGACAATCCAGCGTTTCAGTGCTGAGGAAACCCAGTGGACCGACGCGATAGTTGCCGATAACCAATATAACATCGTGATCGAGTAAAAATTCTGGACCATAAAAGCTGCTGATGCCGGAACCGCATTGAAAGCCACCGCCGTGAAAATAGACCATGACTGGTAGGGGGTCATGGGTGGGAAGATCCTGTTTTTGAAGGAAATTTATGTATGCAAATAAAAAAGCTGTGTGTGCGCTTGAGGCTTACCTCAGGCGTGTACACATTCAAGTAGAGACAATCTTCGCTGCCTTCGATTTCTAAGTCACGCCGATAGGGATCACGTTGTATACACTTTGGCGAATCTTGTATGGTTTGTCTCTCGCCGACCCATGGGCCATATGGTACAGGCGGCTGTATAGAAATATTGGAATATACATACATATGTATGTAGTAAGTAAAAGTAGATATTCGAGTAGATCTTGCTAAATATTTAATATTGATTGCTTTAGTGCTACAATTCGCTATGCAAATGACTGGGTATTTTTAAATTTTTTTTATATGTTGTTCAGCTACCATGATCGCACTTGTGAAAGAAATATGCATAACTTATTCATGAGAATGTTAAAATTGATTCATAGAACTAGACTATTCAAATCACTTTAAATTTTAATTTAATCGTAGCCGAAAAGATTAACATACTGCAGGCGAGCTTTTTTGTGAACTTTATGAGTGTATTCTTTAGCTAGCACGGATTTCTTTTTTTTAAGAAAATATTTCAAGTCTGTAGGCCAATTGTCGAGTATGGGAAAGAGATGTATTACAATTAAATTAGAGTCGAAAATCTATCTTTTGACAATTTTTTGCCTGGTGGCCGAGCTTAGCCCGTTGTGAAAAAATGTGATGCGGTGGGCCACGTATAAAAAAGAACGTTATTCAAGTGAAGTTTCTTAATCGAGTTCGGAGATGTTTGCGATAAATATTTAACTCCACGATGTATGTAGCTGGACAAAAGCAAAGACAATGATAAACATGTAGACAAAGGTTAAGATTGGAATTTAGGAGAGAAGAAGGTGAAAATAAAAATTGAAGATAAATATAAATATGGATATAAGGATGAAGGTGAAAATGAAGCTAAATATAAAGAAAAATATTTGTACATATATGTAGATTAAGGTAAAGCTGAAGATAACATGTAAAAAAGTTCAAGTTCGGTCGGATATCTCGAAAGCTTAGTGACAAGATTAAGTTCAAACAGACGGGCAGACAGACATGCGGACAGAAGGAATGTAGAAATCGACTCAGCGCGGCGTTCTGTTAAAGCTAAACCAAGATTCTTGAAGAAAACGTCAAAAAACGTAAGCGATATTTTTTTCAAAATTTTAGTTTAGATGCAGTAGATGCATTTCTCCATCCTAAGGAATATTTCTGCATTCAAAATTTTGAAAAAATGCCACTTACGTCTTTTTTGCAGTTAAGCTCGATTTCGTCAAACAAGCAAGGTGTATTTTTTTTCAAAATTGTCGTACACATTCAAAACCAAAAACATAAATATATATTTCCTAAACTTTGTGCAAAACTAGCGAAAATTCAGCAAATTTTCAACTTTTGAATCAGATGTTTTTAGAATTTTTTTGAATATGCAGCGCAATCAATTTTATTGTAATAAAGTACAAAATTTAAATAGCTAGAAATTACCGTTGATTTTTGTAAATTTTTTTTCACGCTGTCTCTTCCATAGAAATTTTTTTTTTCGAAAATACTGTGGAATAATGTGGAAAAAATACAAAACACCTTCAACAAAAGAAAAAAAAAAAATCAAAAATCAATTAAATTTCTGACTAACTCCAAACTTGCATCTTTTATTAGAATTTAATGGGCTGCATACTCAAAAAAATTCTAAAATATCTGATTAAAAAGTTGAAAATTTGCATGAAAATTTGCTGAATTTTTGCGAGTTTTGCACAAAGTTTAGGAATTATATTTTTATGGTTTGTGTTGTAGAACGAACCATGTTTTTATACAAAATTGGGGGAAAAATATTAGAATAAAAATTTTGGCACATATTTTGAAAAAATTGTAGGTTCATATGGAAAATCTAAGTATTTTTTTAACTTTCTTCGATTTAAAAAAAGAGTAGCGGACCAAATGTTGTTAACGAAGGGATATTCTGCTGAAATCCGCGATAAAATCTGCGTTTCGTTAATTTTAATTCTAAAACTGCCACGCCCATTTCTAGGGCGTTGTCGCCTTAAACAAAAATCTTTCAGAACAAACATATTTACTGGATGGTTATTCTACGAGAATTCGCAATTAAAAAATTAAAATTTTTGCAAAAAATACGATTTTTGACACTTTGCCAACTATAGCATTGATTTTTTAATGCCTAAGGCCGATGCCACGCAATGAGCGGCTTAAAATTAAAACATATTGAACTGGCTACACAATGAGCGGCATTTTTGAAGGGTTGGGCAGCGCCGCTCAGGGAAAAAAGGCGCTCATTTCGTGGCCTCGACCTAAGACATGCATGTATTTCATTCGACATCTGTACATCAGGCCTCACAATCATGCGTTCATCCAATCACTAACACAAAAAAAAAATACAAAACCCTCAAACTACATACGTGTGTATGTATGTAAAATATCAACTAATTAATGATTTGAATAATGCACAACTCGCGAGCGTGCAGAAATCGAATCGTCTAAAAAAATGATTTGCCGAATTACCTTTGAAATAAATTTTATTCAAACACAGAAAAGTCAAGATCACCGCAGTAAGCATTAGGATGAAGATGACTTGCAATTACTTTGCATAAAGCACAGCGCGAGCGAAGCAAACTTTCAACCAAATATTTATATTTTCATTTATACGCACATAAATTTGTATGTACTATCCTCAAAAAAATACTAAGTATACGCTTATATGCATGCTTAAAAGATATTATCAATATGATAAATTAATCATGACTATGGCTATAATGAAATGAATAAATAATAAAAATATAGTTGGCGGCAAAATTTTTGTTAAGTATTTGACCCAGATTCACCTCCAAACTCTATGTGTACATATAATTAAAAAATCAATAAAACTCCTTTGCAGTTGCAAACACCCCACCTATTTGGCGAAGAATTTTTGCATCAGTTGCTGTGGAGACTGTGGAATGAAAACGTAAAATTTCGCACGAAATCGCACTACGCGAAAGTAAGTGAAAACATAGGCCAATAGCTGTCAAATACAAAAATTTTGGGTTTTTTTTTATTAAAAGATGCTTCTTGACATGGAAAAATTCGATTTGACGTGCCCATGTTTATATGCAGTTTTTCAGTGTCTCGGCAGGAGACAAAAATTTAATTAAATACAAGAAACCCGGTGGCGTATGAGTATCGTCCGTCTATCAAAGGCTGTTGTTTGTCGAAATTTCACAGTACAGGGACTAAAAGTTTATATGTCATTCCTTTCTGATTTCAAAACAAAATTCAGAAGTAAATTTTGTGGACCTTCCAACATTTTATTTTCTGAATACGTAAGTATGTAGGTAAATTGTTGTTATCTTTTTATGAACATAAAATTCCGTTGTTCGAGCGATCTTAATTTTTCTCATACTAAACGATTATCAATAAATTTCCTTTTTGTATTTATTCAACTAAATACGTTTGTAAGTATATGAGGGTGATTGACGTGGTTCTTCCAAACCTTGGCTAAAATCTACCAAAATGAGAAAAAGTTTACCTTTTTACCCACCCAAATTTTTTCTACCAATTTTGGTAATTATTTACCAGAGTGGCAACCCTGGTTATGTGCAAAATTTTTGCCAAAAGGTTATTATCGACTATTTTTGCCACGTTTAATACGTACAAAACAGCCGTATTCTCAAAAATTTAAACGCACACATTTAACGATTTTATTGCACGTCAACAGTCGAATGTATTCAAAATACAATCATTTGAATATTCATTAATCGCAATTTGTTGAATATTTATTCATTTATTTTTAACATGAAAGCATTTCGCCAGCAAAGTGTGTATGCATGAAATTTAGTAGGTATATTTTTGTTGTTGTCGTGCACAATTAACACTACGGTTCACTAAACTTTCCCACCGTGATGAGACAGCGAAACAATTTTTTAAAAATCTGTCAATGCATTGCAATCTAGTGCGCCCCTAAAAGTCACGAAATATTTAATGTTTACTATTTTTTTTTAATTTTTTTTTTATTTTTGTATAATGCTCCAGCAAGCGTAACGAAACTATGTAAGTTCTAGAAATTTTATTAAGTTAATTTTACTACAACTTTTTAATTTTCTAAAAATCTCACTTCGCAGTGATTCGACTTTTTGCTGAATTTCTACTCAAGAATTTTATCACTACACACACACACACACACGCGCGCACATTCGCACTGAGCGTAACACACCTTGAAGCGCAATTCGCCCACTGGCGGCAACGCATATGGCACCCCCATAAAGGCACGCATATGCCTACCCTTGTGCGAGACACGATGACGGCCGACCAGGACTCCGCCATGCGGCAGCTCCACTTTCAACACATCCGCAGTTCGCGCCGCGATCGAATCAAAATGAATGCTCAAGGTGAGCAGAAAAAGCGCGCCGAAAATTATTGTTCGAGTAGCGGCCAAATAGACGCCAAAACGTGTTTCGTACAGCATCCGTTGCTGTTGCTGCAGCTGCTGCCGCTGAGTTCTCGACTCTTTGGCCAATTGACGATCGTTTGTGGCTAACATTTCCGCGCGTACTGAGCCGATCGAAACGAATGCGGCCGGTTTTAAGCGTTTGTTGAGATTTTGTTTTCTAATTTTAATTTTGTACACAAACAATAACAATTTTAAATTAAAGCGCGTGAATAAATACAAATACATTTGGTTAAATTAGATTTAGTGGCTTATTTGTGTGAAGTAGAAGTGAAAAACAAATCACAGCTGGACACGCGATGAGTATGTATGCACATAAGTATGTATTTGTGTGCTTCTTTATGAATGTATTAAGTAATGTACATAATACATTTAATTTTTGTTTTTGCGCGTGCCGCATTCGACCATTAAAACTGTTACGCGGTTAAATACGATTGTGGGAGTGAAATTCTGTTCAAATTCTCAGCAGTGTTGATCAAAGCTCACAAGTTAAGGGTAAATTTAAACTAAAGCTTGCGCGTCTGCGAAAACGCTAAGTTTTCGCGGTATGAGACGATCGAAACAGTGCAATTATAGAGAACAAAATTGGAAAAGAAAAATATGAGATGCTATAAGAAATTGTTCTAATTTTTAGAAAAACTTATGTACACAGTTTTATAACCTATTAAATTTTAGTAAAATTTCAAGTAGTTAAGAAACTGCATTGATTTGGAATTTGAAATTTAAGGCCATCAAAATATGGAGTTTTTCTCAAAATATGGAGCTGATGGAAACTTTAAAGTTACGGATTCGTAATCAGCACAAAAAAGTCAATCAAAAACAGCTTTAAGATCAGCCGCACCAAAATTTGTTTCCATTTTTGTTGGCCTGTGTTTTAAAATTCTGGATAATTCTGTATCTAATCGATTAATTTTTCCTGCATATCAAGCAATCAGAGATCGAAAATAACCGTCACCAAATGTCTTGTATGGTGTTTACCACATACACAAACACTCATCTCTCAAGCAACGAGTGTTTCTCACCGTGGCAAATCACTCTGTGCGATCTCTTTGTGTTTTCCGTTGTGGGTTATTTATCAACTGCTAAAATTTCTCTTAGGCAAAGACACTTTGGCATTGACTTTTATTTTTAAGTGTCTTAATTTGTGGGTTATTGTAAGACTGAAAAATATAAGTGAGCGTACATAAGTGGAAGCAAAGCGTTAGACATTTCTTTACATGACATATACATAGGTACACTACATGTGCGAACATTTATGACAAAGAAGAGAGCGTGCACATTTATAATATGATACACCGAAAATAAGGATAAAGGCAAAGGTAAAAAAAACAAAGATGCGTAAAGATAAATGCAAAAATGAAGACCAAGGTAAATTTAAAAATTTTACTAATATAAGGGCAAAGGAGAAGAATGCAGAAAATGATAAACATAAAGATGATAAAGATAAATATTAAGCAGAAGATGAGGATGAGTAAAGATGAAGATAAAGGAAGAAATATTAAAATAAAATGAAAAGGTAATTATAATGATGATATAGAGGCACAGAGACTCAACCATTATCTTGATTAAAGTTTTAGGTATCGATCCCACACTCTGCGGTAGCAGATATCGGCATATAACGTCTATATCAATGAGTTTGTATATACTGAAAATGGGGCATAGTGAATGAAAAACTCAATTCCATTTTGTCAATATAATAAGTTACAAATGAAATCTGTTCAGCTCAAAGCCTCGCGAGTTCTACACTGAGAACAGAGTTAGCTAGCCTGGAGAAACTTCAATTTAGTGCGGGGTTTATGAATTTATTTAAATGTTATTTATAACTTTTTTATATCGAGTAAGGAAGTCTGAGCAGAGACTTCCTTACATATGTACGTTAACTCATGCGTTAAGTGTCTTATTAATAATAATGCAGTTCAGATTATTCGCAGAATTTGATGCCAAATCCGGCCGCCTAAATTGATTGGTGCATATTCATAGTCGAAATAAAGTCGATTCTTAACTGAGTTGCAACTTCATGGGCAGATATTCAATTGGAAACTATGTACATATGTCAAAGAGCTATCGATTTTATTTTGACTATGAATGCGCACCATTGAATACTTTCCATTAGGGTGGGCTGAAAATCCAATTTATTTTAGAATTGTTATTGTCAATAGCAAAACTGAGGATATGAGAGCAGAAGCGATAATTTTCTTTTTTTGTAGTTCACTTCTAAAAAAATACTCTCAAATGTGATAAATTTTAAAATAAAGGTCACGTTTTTCTTAGTTTGATGGTACGCTATGTAGCTTTGTACCTCAAAATTATAGAATAAGCGACTTTTATTTTAAAATTTGTCACGTTTGAGACTATTTTAAGTAGGTAAGTACACAAAAAAAATCTGCTCTTACGGCCTCAAATATGCTCAAAAAAATTTGAGTGAAAGATGCACATTTTGGTCAATATCTTAGGTTCGCCCAAGTCAATCAAAGTTCTAAGTGTTCAATAAATTGTTTTCTTAGTTTACTTCGAACGCATATTTGATTCTCTACAAAATTAAAAAAGACCAGTAGTAAAAAAAAAAAAATTTGGAGGTTTCGGACGTTATTGTAATATTTATGGGTGAAAAACTGTCGATAATTTGTTAATTTTACAGCAAATTTAAAGTGCTTTTTATGCCTTTTAATTTTTAGGGCAAAAAAGGGGCCGCTAGATTTTTTTTTTTAAGTAATTTTAGGATTGCGGCTTCAAAAAAAAAAGATTGAAAGCCACTAGTCTATAGCATCTACTTACAAATACATACATATGTATGTGTGTGTATTTGTCTACCTAAATAACCTCTTCTAAATATAAAAAAAAAGGAACAGTCCAGCGCCTTCGTCTTGGTCTGCAGGCTGTATCGGAGATACACCCGCTAAATTTAAACGTAGAATACGAGGTATGGTTAAGAGCATATCCAAGTCAAAAACGAAAGCACAAACTAAGAAAAAAATATCGATAACAAAAGCGATAATAAAATCGATAACAAAATCGATAAAAATATCGATAACAAAATCGTTAACTAAATCGATTACAAAATCGATAAAAAATCGATTACAAAATCTATCGAAAAATCGATTACAAAATCGATAACAAAATCGATTCCAAAGTCAATAACAAAATTGATAACAAAATCTATCAAAAAATCCAT